AAGTGGCTGCTCACTGTAAAAAAACAAAAACAAAAAACCCTATTGCCCCCACCCCTGTGTGACGGGTGGGGGCCCTAAATAAGAATGTGGAGGGGAGGACCTACTGTCCTCTCCCCGGCCCCCACCCCTGAGCCCTAAATAACAATAAGGGGGGACTTACTGGTCTCCCCCCCGGCCCCTACCCCTGAGTGGTGGGTGGGGGCCCTAAATAACAATAAGGGGGGCCTAATGTCCTCCCCCCTGGCCCTCACCCCTGCTGGTGGGTTGGGGCCCTAAATAACAATAAGGGGGGGACCTACTGTCCTCTTGGCCCCACCCCTGAGCGGTGGGTGAGGGCCATAAATAAGAATGTGGGGGGAACCTACTGTCCTCCCCCCGGCCCCACCCCTGCATGGTGAGTGGGGGCCCTAAATAACAATAAGGGGGGGACCTAATGTCCTCCACGCCCGGCCCCACCCCTGCGCGGTGAGTGGTGGCCCTAAATAACAATAAGGGGGGGAACCTACCTAACCAATCAGAGTGCTCTATGTCATTTTACACAGCGTGGAAAAATTCCAAAGAACTTTCCTACGCTGTGTAAAATTACACAGAGCACTCTGATTGGTTAGCTTGAAATCCAGTAATGAAATGAAAAAAAGAGAGCGCACAAAAAGATTTTAAATATACATATTTTGAATGGTACTAAAAGTACAATTTTTATTTATGGCCCCCACCGCTCAGGTGTGGGGGCTAGGGGGGAGGACAGTATGTCCCCCCTTATTGTTATTTAGCGCCCCCACCTGCCACGCATGGGTGGGGCCGGAGGGAGCACATTAGGTCCCCCCATCCAATTTTTATTTATGGCGCCCACCCACCGCTCAGGGGTGGGGGCTGGGGGGGAGAACATTAGGCCCCCCCACTGCTAAGGGGTGGGGGCCGGGGGGAGGACAGTAGGTCACCACCTTATTGTTATTTAGGGGGCTTTTAAACTAAAGGGTGGACCTATTGCCCCCCAGGCCCCCACCCCTGAGTGGCGGGTGGGGGCCCTAAATACCAACAAGGGGGTGGGGGCCGGGGGGGAGGACATTAGGTCACCCCCAATTGCCATGCAGGGGTGAGGGCCGGGGGGAGGACATTAGGTCACCCCCAATTTTTTTTTATGGCCCCCACCCACTGCTCAGGGGTGGGGGCCGGGGGAGGACATTAGGTTCCCCACCAATTTTTATTTATGGCCCCCACCCGCCACGCAGGGGTGGGGGCCGGGGGGAGGAGGGTAGGACCCCCCCTTATTGTTATTTAGTGCCCCCGCCCACCATGGGGGCTCAGGAGGGTTTGTTTTTTTTAACAGTGAGCAGTCACAGGCTGCTCACTGTTTAATAGACATGCCCCTACTAGCTGGGTCACATGCTGCACTGGCCAATCACAGCCATGCCATTAGTAAGCATTGCTCATCGAGTGTAAATTTATTTTCAAGAATCGGAGGCAAGACCATGTTTACCAGGTGTTTCAGGTAATGTGGAAGTTCTTCTGGAGTGACTGTAGCCGGTATGCCCCGGATTTTGACATGGTTCCTCCAATATTAGTCTTCCATGGAAGTCATTTGAGTAGAAAATACTTGGTGGGTGGATTGGAACCGCATGAGCCTGCATAACTGAGAGGCCCCTGTGTAAGTCCACAATGTACTCCTTGTTAGTTCAGTCTGTGATGGCCTGGACTTCAGTTTTTACCACTGCTATATTTGCAGCTAGAAGTTGTTTAATATCCTGTAGGAAGTTCTGGATATCTTGTTTAGTTGCAAGTTCTGTTGCCTTCCAAGGAACATTGAAAGTCTAATGTAGGAGTAGTCAACTCCATAGAGCCAGTTGTTTTCGTCGTGGAGTGTCGGCCCATCTCAGGTTCTCCATTAGCTGGGGTTGGTGAGTTGTTCGTCACCGGTGAGCAAGAGTCATCCATGTGGAGGCCAAAAACCGAAGGTGAGTAGTAGGCCACAGGCCTGCGCTTAGTTAGGGATATCTTGGTGGTATGGAAAAATGGCATGGGTCCAACCAGCAGTTTGCCAATAGACACTTGTCGGTTATCTTATGGCTGGTGAGCAATTAATGCTTTAGCAATCAAGAGATGGTGTCTGCTCTCCCTTGTAAGCAAGCTCCGTGCAGCACATAAAAAAAAAAACATTTTTAAATTTTACAAGGCTACTTAAAATCACCTATCTGAGCAAACAAATATACAAATAGATTTTGTACAAATTTGACTCTTTACAGCAGCACCACTGCTCAGAAATGAATGTTCTGAGTTTGCCCCCAACTCTACCATTTTTTCCTATGTATGTTTGAAGTCCAGGCCAGATTCCTTTTGGGTTGAAAACTCAGTCCTGCTCATCTGCCCCTTTGGAGGTGACTACAGGAGAGTATAAATTTGAGGAGGCTTTGTATAGCAATGTCACTTAAATATTTTTTTATTTGATATAGAGCATATATATAATATGCATTGTGAGTATATAAATAAAATCACCATCAATTTAATTATTTAGGTATGACACTGTATTTTATTTTAATTGGTTATTATCATATGATTATATAATTAATTTTTCATGATGTAAATTCACAGTGCTCTTACAGCACATTAGTTAAATATACTTTCTTTTAACACTAGCACTACTTAATTTGTCTCCCATGTTAAAATTGGTGTAGGACTCACCAATATTGGAGTACTTTGGTCTAGTGGTGGGATTACCTTGATATGGCCATATGGTGGAATGGGATCCCCATATTTGTTTGCAGCAATAGATGATAAAATAATAAGGACCAGGGCGCATGCAGAGCAGGAATGATCTTTAAAAGTAGTTTTTTTAATAATCACAAATCAAAGCTGGACAGAACAATGTTTTCTTTTGTCTAATATTTTATTTAAAAAGGCGAATTTTGTTTCAGACCAGGTGGACCATGATCCTCATTGACATATGGGCAAGTTGATTCCAGGGAGTGTTGCCTTTCAATATTAGATTAACCTTGTCACACAGTTTTGAAGATTAGGTAATAAATTGGGTTTATTGGAAAACCCCGCTATCAGTTTGTTATGTTTCCTATCCACAGAAATGGGGTGGAGAAAATGTTTGGGAAATCACTTGATTGATTCAAGATTCAAGCCATAGGAAAGACTGGGTATTGGTGTTTTGCAGTGTGAGGATTTCGTAACTAAGTAGAAATATTTGATTTATCTTGTTAAGGTAATAGAATTTTAGATCTACTTTAGAAGTGATCAAGGTGAGAAAATATGTTTAAAACATCTCTGGTACATTGCATTCTTTTAAATGTGTTTTAAGCATTCACAAAATGCAATTAATTAAAAAAAGAGGGAATTTTCTATACCAGAAATGTTATTGGTTATCAATAAAATATATAAAAATATAAGAAAAATAGGTAAACAGTAACCCTCAGGCATCAGGGTTTTCAGGGAGACACGAAGGTCTCTATGCAATTTACATTTGTTCAGACTGCGCACGGTCTCCATATAGGACGAATCACACTGGGTGCAACAGTCATATACAAAGTAAGCCCAACACTCAGTGGCCTCTGGTCCCGGACTGGCAATTGCCAGCACCCTAGATGCCACGGGCTCCACCCCTTGCAATCCACACCTAGCTACAGTGCAGGCAAAACAACTTTGAGAGTGCCACCCCCAATGTCCGGAGTGCTGATGACCTTCCTCCCCTCCCCAGGACACAAAGCTACAAGGTGGTTTCAGGCTTTTTGTATTTGTGCCATCAATGTTATGGGCCAGGGACTGTTGTTTTCACCTTAGGGCAGCAGGGTGCAATGAAAGCTAGCACTTTCATCTTGAATAATAGGAGGGTGGGTCTGTTCAACCTTGATTGCTGTCATATAGTCTTGATTAGCCTTGGTTTTGTTTTAATTAACGGCTTAAAATGTCAGAATCACTAACATGCAGCCTCTCGTCAGATCCAGTTATGTGCGTACGAATGGGTATAGTCTGAAATCTATGGTTCCCAACCATGCCCCTGATTGTCAACTCTCAGTTTCCACCCACTCACTCCCTTCGTGCCTCCCCCACATCCTGCCCCTAACAGGTTTAATCTATCATGCTTTCACGCATGTGCTCAGGGTGACATATCGCCTGGCCCTGAAGTAGGTATTTGAGGTATAGAAGAAAGCAGTAAGAGCATGTAGTCATAGGAAAGTCGAATGTAAGATTGGAGAAAAAAGGGACTGTTGTTTTCACCTTAGGGCAGCAGGGTGCAATGAAAGCTAGCACTTTCATCTTGAATAATAGGAGGGTGGGTCTGTTCAACCTTGATTGCTGTCATATAGTCTTGATTAGCCTTGGTTTTGTTTTAATTAACGGCTTAAAATGTCAGAATCACTAACATGCAGCCTCTCGTCAGATCCAGTTATGTGCGTACGAATGGGTATAGTCTGAAATCTATGGTTCCCAACCATGCCCCTGATTGTCAACTCTCAGTTTCCACCCACTCACTCCCTTCGTGCCTCCCCCACATCCTGCCCCTAACAGGTTTAATCTATCATGCTTTCACGCATGTGCTCAGGGTGACATATCGCCTGGCCCTGAAGTAGGTATTTGAGGTATAGAAGAAAGCAGTAAGAGCATGTAGTCATAGGAAAGTCGAATGTAAGATTGGAGAAAAAAGGTAAGAAGGTGCCCAGAATGTCTCCAAAGCGGTGGCATGCGATTCCCCAGTGGAAGTGCTTTGTGCTTAATATGCGAACCAGCGATACCATTGTACAGTATGTTTCTCCTTGCAGCCCCCATGTCACACTCTGGCTATAATAGCCTGGTCCATGCTCTGTTTTTCCAGGATCACTCATAGTTAATCCATGGGAGCAATATGCCATTCCTTAATTCTTTGTAGGACTGATGATATTTGTGAGAGTCAGGTAGAGCCCAGCTTTCCCAAGACTTAGGCAGGCCCAGTGTCACAATCTTGCCTTCTCCCCCACCATAAATAGCGCAACACTGTTGTCCAGAGGTTTGTAAAAAATTACAGGGCAGGACATGTTGGAGGCTTGTTGCAGAGGAGCTTCAGAGGAGCTTCTCATCAAGGATAAGCAGAGAGGTCGGTGAAAGTTTCTAGAGTTTTCCGGGTTCTTCCCAGGTTTTGGTATTACAGTGATAGTAGCCACCAGGAATTCTTTGTGGAAACATGTTCTGTCTGTCAGTCTGTTAAGGGCTTTAGTTAGCCTGGGAATAAGGTTGTGTCCAAGCTTCTTGTAATAGTCATTGGGCAGTCCGTCGGGATCCAGTGTTTTGCCAATTTTTGCTGTTTTTATAGCTTGCTTGATTTCTTCTTCCATAATGGGTTAGTTTAGTGAATGTGCCTCCTCCACCGTTAATGTGTTATGGACAGTGCCTTGTAAATATCTTTCTATGTCACTCATTGATGAGGATAATTCCCCATTCTGAAAGGCTGAGGAGATGTAAAGATCAGCATAAAACCTCTGGAATTCCTTGGCATTTTCTCTGGGAATTGGGTTCATTTGTCCATTGCCGTACGTACGTGGTGTACCTGTGCCGGTGATTGTTGACCCTGTAGCATCCAAGCTAGAAGTTTGACTCCTTTATTAGCATGGAGATAGTAAAACGTGTTCTTACACAGTAGGACGTGAAGATGTTGGTGATTTAATATGTCTGTCAGTTGTTTTCGGGCATCATCCAACTCTTTGTAGGTGTTCTCCAATTGCATCCTCTTATGGAAAGTTTCCAGGCAACCAATAGCCTTTGTGATCTATGCTCCAGTTTCCTTTTTCTTACAAGTGGCAAGTTGTATAAGGGGTCCCCTAATTACTCCTTTATGTGCTTCCCAAAGTACAGTTCTAATTGTTGGAAGATTTGATCTAGTGTCACAGGATCGACCAGTAATGATTCTTTGAGCTTCCACGCCATTCTAGTGGGCCGTAACAGTGGTGAGTCCATCAATATGTATACTGAGCTGTGGTCCGTCAATGGAGAGGAAAAGGTGTTCGCGGTGTATGAGCCCCTTCTGTTGAACAATTACGTAATCTATGCAAGAGTACCTGCAATATACTACGAGTAGAATGTATAGTCGCGAGCCTCCGGATTGAGAACTCTCCAGCAGTCAACAAATCTCAATTCAGTACAGTATCTACAGATGCTTCTTATAGTCACTTGCGGTATGCTACCAAGTCCTGTGGAGGAGTCCACTATTAAATCCAGTAGGATGCCGAAGTCCCCTCCTAAGATAAAGCATGCAATGTCTTGCGGAGAAACCTCACTTGATTATTGTTTGGAACATATATTTAAGCACATGTGTAGGTTCTCTCAACTATCCTGCCCTTCACAAACAGATACCTGCCTTTTGGATTTGCAAACATGTCTGAGGCAATAAACTGTGATCTTTCAATCAGGCCTTATGGGCCATTGGGTGATTGCTAAAATAATTAAGATAAGACTTATCAATCAACACCGACATTACCCCTTCCCAGAAGTGAGTATGTTGGAGCAGGGCAATTGTCACCTGCTGGCGCTTGAGTTCCCTTAGCAGATGAGTGTGCCTTTCAGGGACGCTCATGCCTCTACAGTTCTGTGAGATAATGTGCAGAGGCACTGGGACGTATGACATGTTGAGTGAATGAGTGGTGCTGAGCAGACTCCCACTTTCAATGACGATAAAATAAATTCAAATCCGCTGTGTAGCATGTTAAGAGGGGCTGCCAAGGAGACGCCCGCGCATTCTCAGAGATTAGAGAAGAGAATTGTGAAGTTCTATCACAGGACTCCAGACAGCAGCCCACCACAATTCAATGAGGGGTGGTGGCCTGGGGAGTAGCAAGCCCCACACTCTGAAAAGGATAGGGGTAATAGTAGAGAGGTGGGTAGTAGGAGAAAAAAAAAAAAAGAAATTCCAGATAAAGAAAAGAAACAAAAAGGAAGCCAACAACTAACAGGGCAGCTGACTCCAATAAAAATAATGTAACTGGAATCTTGTGTGACTGTGTGGGCAGCCTTACACGTACAGGCACATCACTCCCCTCAGTAGTCTAAGTACACATGTGCATGGTTGGTCTATGTTCTTCTGTTGTACACCATCCCAAATCAGCTGAGAACGTTGTAAACTTAATGAAATATAAAATAAACAACTCTGTGTCTATGTGTCCACTCTAAATAATAGAAGTCTAGAGAATGCACTTCGCTGTGATAAGTGAGAAAATAAATGGGATGTATGATGTCCAGTATCTCACTCGTGAATGGCTGAACCCATGCTCATGTTGTAATTTTTGAGGTCCCCCTATCTCTCTTATCAGTCATATAGTGATCATGACTTGACTTGTAAGCGTTCAAGAACTCTCTCTAGATAAAATAGCTGGGGTATAGATCCGTGATCACACCGCAAGATAAAACCAGATTCCATCATTCCACGGAAATGACCCGTGGGCATGATGGTCAAGCTATGTCATGGTGTGAAATGAGTGTGTCATGGTCAGCGACAGTATGGGTAAAGAGGGGGAAAGGGAAGGAGATGAAGTATATTACATTTCTGCTTTTTTTCCCTCTCTTTTTTTTCCTTCCCCTTTTTCTTCCTTTTCCCCCCTTTCTCCGTCTCTTTTTTCCCCCTCCTCCCCCTTCTATAGTCACCTATATTATCTACATAAAAAAACACAGTGGTAATCAACGTGCGTACCTTGGGAATATCTGACTGATACATAGGAAGTGCACTTTGAAGTTATAACTATACCGAGTCATGTTAAAGGAACACTATAGTCACCTAAACAACATTAGCTTAATGACGCAGTTTTAGTGTATAGATCATGCCTCTCAAATTTTACTGCTCAATTCACTGCAATTTAGGAGTTAAATCACTTTGTTTCTGTTTATGCAGCCCTTGCCCCACCTCCCCTGGCTTTGATTGACACAGCCTGCATGAAAAAAACTGGTTTTATTTTCAGATGTAATTTACGTTAAACTATTTTATCTCTTGCTCTGTAAATTGAACTTTAATCACACACAGGAGGCTCTTGCAGGATCTAGAAAGATATAAACATAGCAGGGGATAAGAAAATATAAATTAAACAGAACTTGCAATAAAGATGACTCTTTACAGGAAGTGTTTAGGAAGGCTGTGCAAGTCACATGCAGGGAGGTGTGACAAGGGTTCATAAACAAAGTGATTTAACTAAAATGGCAGAGAATTAAAGGACCACTCTAGGCACCCAGACCACTTCAGCTTAATGAAGTGGTCTGGGTGCCAGGTCCTTCTAGGGTTAACCCATTTTTTCATAATTATAGCAGTTTCAGAGAAGCTGCTATAATTATGAATGGGTTAAGCCTTCCCCCTAATCCTCTAGTGGCTGTCTCATTGACAGCCACTAGAACTGCGATGCTTCTCACTGTGATTTTCACAGTGAGAGCACATCAGCGTCCATAGGAAAGCATTATGAATACTTTCCCTGTGACGCCTGATCTTGTATGAAGCTCGCGTCGCATTCAGCGGCGGCATCACAGAAGGCGGAGAGAAGGAGGAGAGCTCTCCGCCCAGCGCTGGAAAAAGGTAAGTTTTTACCCCTTTCCCCCTTCCAGAGCCGGGCGGGAGGGGGTCCCTGAGGGTGGGGGCACCCTCAGGGCACTATAGTGCCAGGAAAACGAGTATGTTTTCCTGGCACTATAGTGGTCCTTTAAGCAGTGAGGCTGCAGTGGCATGTTCTATATAACAAAATTGCTTCATTAAGCTAAAGTTGTTTTGGTGACTATAGTGTCCCTTTAAGGGGATACTATAGTGCCTGGCACTATAGGTTCCTACAATGCCCCCCCCCCCTCCTGCAGGGGCATCAACATGCCCCTTCAGTCACTTACCTGAGTCCAGCGCTGATGCCCCTCGGCACTGGGTCAGGGTTCGCCCAGGCTCCTCAATGCTTGCCCTGCATGAGCATTAGGTTTCCCTCACCGGCTGTCGGTGGGGGAAACCTAATGCTCATGCATGGCAAGTGTTGAGCTCGCGTTAGGATTCCCTACAGGAAAGCATTGCTTTTATTTACTATTGCAGGCTTAAGGGGACTGGGACATTGCACCCAGAACACTTCAATGAGCTGAAGTTGTCTGAGTGCCTATAGTGTCCCTTTAATGTAGGGTTACATTGTCTTTACAGTAATATGCTACCTCCAAACATATTGTCCCTACAAGATATAGTAGGTAGTTAGGTATAAAAAAGAGTAAGTTAAGACACTGGCCTAATCTCTCTTGCTTCCATGGAGAGAACAAAGGACACCCTATACACAGGCTTACCCTTCACTGTAAACAGCCTAATGCACATAACTGTGAACTGTGCATTGTATAAACTGATAGAAGCCATTGTACAGTTTACAAAGCAGTTTTGCTCATCCTGTTTGATGAATGGAACAACATTTAGGAGATAAAATACCTATCTCATAAACTTCTGGGGGCTAGAATGGGTTAAGATCAGACCCACAGTCCAAAATAAAAACCTTCTGAATAGTGGTGAGGTAGGTATCTGCCTGAAGGTGCAAGTACTTTATCCAAGATGCACAGTTTCAAGATATTGGAAGGTGTTTGTATTTATTATATGTATGTATTCATTTATTTTAATATGTATTATTTGCACAATCTTTACTGTATTTTTTAATAGGGAGCTATTTTACTCAGGTATTTCGCTTTAATTTGTAAATAAATTAACAAAACAACTAACCAAGAGTTAAATTGCATAATGGGGATTTTAATTGTATAATATTCCATAAATGCTGATGTGCGTGTGGTCTATTCTAGAGAACAGAAATGTTATTTGTTCTGGCAAAATGTATTCTGAAATACTACGCACATGAGTTTTAGTACCAAAGCAAATATTGAAATTTTTATAAGCCCGTAATGGCTATCCCTGCCTCTGTAGATATTTGCGAACTGACTTTCCCATGATAGTCAGTCAGACTTAGGCATTTAGAAAGTTGGCCATTAACGATGCAAGCCAATGATAAACAAATATGATTGATAAAATTCAGGTTGGCTACTCTTAGCAAAGTGTGGTGAACTGGGGAAATATAAGACAGTTAACTAATCCTTACTCTTGCTTTTCATGTTAACAATTACACATTCCCATAGAGAAAAAAAATAGGTTTACAGGACACTGGTATTGCTTTACGTCATTTTCTAAGCGTGATAATAATTTCCATATGCCTCTCATTCTTTACTTAAAGTCCTCCAGCCAAAAAAACGTGATGAAGTAAATTCATAGCAGGATCATATTTCTGAGCACTGTCTGTACAAACTGCTCTTGCAGTTAGTGTGTTCATGCCTACTATAATGCAAATAGTGTTTTGTTACAAATAAT